GAGCGGAGGAGAGGAAGATGGAAGGGAGAAGGAGAGAAAGTGAGAAGGAGAGAGGGTAGGAAGGGGAAGAGGACGAGAGGAGGATGGGAGAGGTAAGGGAAGAAGGAAGGGAAAGGAGACAAGGAAAGAAGAAAGTAGAGAAGGGATGGAGGGAGAGAAAGGAAGAGAGGAGAGGAGAGAAAGATAAGGGAAGGAAGATAGAGCGGAGGAGAGGAAGATGGAAGGGAGAAGGAGAGAAAGTGAGAAGGAGAGAGGGTAGGAAGGGGAAGAGGACGAGAGGAGGATGGGAGAGGTAAGGGAAGAAGGAAGGGAAAGGAGGAAGGAAGGAAGTAGAGAAGGGAGGGGGGAGGAAAGAAAGGGAGAAGAAGGTGGTCTCAAAACAGGCGAGGGATGGTAAACAAAGCAACCCAAATGGAATATTATAATTCTCTAAATGTGCAATGACAAATGTATAAGAACCATGAATGTAAAAAAAGAATAATAACTATGTGAATGTATACCTATAATTGTATATAGAGAACAAAAAATAAAAAAACACTTTATATTTTTAAAAAAGTTGGTGGGGTTCAATTTGGAAATGCTTTGGAAGTGGTTTTTTTTTGTAAATTAATATGCCTGTTTTAGGCATCTGATACGCTACTGGCAAAGAAAATCCATTCTTGCAATTTCTTTGGGCTACCAAAATTCCTTTCATATGTCCATGATGGGGTAATGGGAAATGAAGTCTGCAATATCCTTAACATCTTTGCATATCCGTTGAATGTTCCTGGTTTAATCTTTGGCCTGTCCAGCCACATCTGGAAAAGTCTTGTCTCAAATAACTGAAAAGTTTCTTGTTTAGGCTTGTTTAGTCTTCCAACTATGTAGAAAGAGCTCCCAAACTGACTGGAAAATCATGTCTTTTGGTTAAGAATCAGTGTTTTGACTTAGTAATGAATCAAAATGACCCCTACAGAGAACTTTTTCCTTTAAGCAAGCATAGAGATACAGATCTCATGTTATGATATGCCTCTGGATATAGGGTTTTAATATGATTTTCATCTCCCATCTTGGATTCGGCTTGAGTAAAATGTTCTTGGTGGCCATCTATCAGATTTGTCTGCAATGATATAGAGAACCACTAGATGGCAGCAGTGAACCCAGATGTTCTGTCTTTCTAGGTTGCCCTCTAGAGGGAATTCAAAGATTTGTAACCCAAATGTGGTAGTCTTGGTTTATAATGAGGGTACAATCTTTTTTCTTCTTTTTGGTTTCATGTTTTCTCTGCATCCCATCTCCATTTATATTCTCCAGGACACATTCTGCAGTTTATTATGGGACCTTCATTTCATCAATGAAAACTTAAAGAAATTAATCAACGTGTCTGGGGAAAAACTGAAAACGTTATTCAAGAAGATATATGATCACACAAAATTTGTTGAAGATTGTAATATTAAAATAGTAAGTTGAAGAACTTTGTTTAGAGTGCTTTGGAATGACAATACAAGTCATTCCTATTTTATTCACAATTTTACCTAACTTGCCTGGTCCTAATAGAACAGATTACAATCGAAATTTCTATTATTTAAAATGCAGTGTTCATTTAGATCAGAACTAAGTAAAGAGGGAAGACTTAAATTAATCCAGGGCTCTAACAGTGTCAAACAAAGTATGAATACTTCTGTGCATATTCCTTGTCTGATGGGAATATTTGTATCTACATGGTCACTAAGAGTCAACACCAGCTTGACCGCTTATAATCAAAATGAGGGAAAAAGGAACTCTGAAAATCTTTTTTTTTATCCTATGTTTGGGCTGGGAGAAATTGGGAAAGTATCTGAATTTATTTAAGTTCCTCAGTTTTTTTTCTGGCTGGAAAGGAAATTCCTCCCTTCCTTTGAGATACAGATTTTGTTACAGGTAATCCTCAATTTACGATCACATCAGAGTCCAAAATTTCTGTTGCTAAACAAGACAGTTGAGTTGTGTCCCATTTTATAACCTTTTATGCCACACTTGTTAAGTGAATCACTGCAGATGTTAAGTGAATCATGTGGTTGTTAAGTAAACCTGGCTTCCCACATTGGCTTCGCTTGTCAGAAGCTAGTTGGGTGATAATCACATAACCCAGGACAGTGTAACTGTCTTTATTTATTATGCCTGTTTCTGCAAGTAGGTTCATTTCATTTTGAAGGAAACGCTGCTGAGCATTTCCAGTCTGAATCAACCCTAATCCCACTATGTAATGTGCAATTGGAGGGGACCTTTGAGGCCATCTAGTCCACAGTGATTACTATTCGCAATAAATGGCATCACCATTAAGCTGGAAATTACTGTCAAGCCCATAACCTATAATTTGCATTGCTCTTTTTAAAAAGAATTTTATTAAGCTTCAAATATAAAAAAATTAAAATGTTGCAACAAAAGGACAAAAGTGGGGAGGGACAACAGGGAAAATTTTAAAAGTAATATCAGAAACCCCTCCAAAAATAACAGAATAAACGTTACTTCCAACTCTCTTCAGTTCAGATAAAGTTGAATGATAAAACATGATAACTTTTGTTTTAGTTTAACAAAGAGATACAAAACTAAAATATAAAAGATATACATACCATACCCAAAAATCAAATAATAATAATGCTCTCTTAGTCTAAATGTGTGGCATGGTGGCCTAGAGGTGTTTATCAGGATACTAAGAGAAAATATTTGCTGTGAACTCTGTGTAGGCATCAGGAAGGGCATCTGGATAATAAATTCTCAGCACCATTCAGTCACTTAGATTCCACTCTGAATAAACAGATTACAGGGTTGTAAAACTCTCTTTAAATAAAACATATAGCCCATTAATGCATCATAATATCAATTCCACAAATACACATAGTATTATTAATTATTTCTATAAGAAAGTATCGATAATAACACATCCTTTCTTTCAGTAGTTCTCAATCTTTTCTTCATTATGGACCCTCTTTAAATACCTTTTGTGGCCACATACTATGGCCGTGGACCCCCAAGACTTAACTTAAGATTTAGATTATAACATTTCTTCAAACCTTTGTGAACCTCCTGTGGTGGCATTGTGGCCCGCAGTAGTCCACAGACCACAAGTTGAGAACCACCGCTTTACTTCAAATGGAAACAAATGCATAAAAAGCCAAAATAAAATCTGTGTCTATTAAACTTGAGCAGTGCACATTTCTATAACAATCAATACATATCTAATCAAAATCAAGACTTCATTTTTATCTTTTATCAAGCAAAAAGGGTTTTTATATAGAAAGAAAAGCAGCCTAATTTTTATATTTAATCAAAGCATTCACTTTTGCCATCTCAGTCAGTTCAAAAAGGGTTTTTATATAGAAAGAAAAGCAGCCTAATTTTTATATTTAATCAAAGCATTCACTTTTGCCATCTCAGTCAGTTCATATTGTTGGGATTTTTTTTTTCCAAAATAAACTTCAAAAGATGTAAAAGCACGAATAATAGTATCTGAACTTTGGCATGGATTACTAAAGTATGAGGTAGTAATCACAGCTGTCATACTGGGATGAGCAAGCTGCAGTTAATTCTTTGTATTTTTCTTGCTCTTTTTCAGGGTGATAGTTCTACCAGTTTTGAATTGAAAAATATCTCTCAATTTGTAGATGCCATTCCTTCCTGCCTTCAGTCTCTATCAAAGAAGATAGAAAGGATTACAGAAGAAAAGCATGCTGATTTTAGGAACTGCACCAATATTCAGAGCCAAATAGGTAACATTCTTAAGTGATGGGGAAACGGGTGAGGAGACAAAAGTTTGGCCATTTCCCATGTGTGCCTAATCATGCTTCATTCAACAATGTTATATTTTGTGTCCAATATCCTATTCGATTCATCCCCAGACCATAAATGAGATAGACTTAAGTGTTAAAATAATGTTTCCCCCCCTATCCCTCCATCATCCAAGAACAGGTTAATGGTGTGTCATATATGTAAAGATTTGTCCCTAATTACCATGAAGGGAAATGGGGTAAATGGTAGTGAGAGGAAACAGAAATTTTTCACCACTAAAGGAAGGATAGAGATCTGCCCTATTTTCCACATAGGGTTGTTTCCCCTATTTCAATAAAGGCATAGTGGGAGTTGCAGGGGAGAGCACTGTGTGACGTGGCAGCGGGGAAAGGCCCTCGGTACATACTAAGCTAACTTTCAGAAAATAATGTTCCCACAGTGGAATATAGGAAAGTTCCCCAATGTTTCCGGCTTTGAGGACTGCCGGGGGGGGGGGGGGGGATGGTTCCGTGTGAACGGCCGGCAAGCATGTGCACATGCATGCATCTCCATTTGCGCGAGTGGTGTGCATGTGCACACTTGCCATTTCTCCAGCCTGGTTGCAAATCCCCCACGGTCCACTAGTGGGCTGTGACCCACAGGTTGGGGACTCCTGGAATATAGTCTACCATGTCATACTGCCCCAACTTGGTGCCCTCTGGTCTTTAAATCCAACATTGATTGGGACCAGATGAGGTACAATGGCCCAAGCAGTCATCTCAACATCTCAGTGCAAAATAGTCCTTGACTTACGATCACAATTGAGCCCAAAATTTATGTTGCTAAGTGAGACATTTGTTAAGTTACTTTTGCCTCCTTATGCAAACTTTATTGCCACAGTTGTTTAGTGAATCATTACAGTTGTTAAGTTAGTAGCGCTGTTGTTAAGTGAATCTGGCTTCCCCATTGACTTTGCTCGTCAGAAGGTCGCAAAGCTGATCACATGACCCCGTGACCCTGCAACCATCATAAGTATGAACCAATTGCTGTGGATCTGAATTTTAATCACATGACCAAGGGGGTGCTGCAACAGTCGTAGCTGTGAAAAACAGTCATAAGTCACGTTTTTCAATGCTACCGTAACTTTGAATGCTCACTAAATGGACTGTTGTGAGTCGAGAACTATCTATAGCCTGTTCCTTAGTAGCTACAGCCACAGCATTCCTGCAGATGACACTCACAAAGTACCGTTTGGGGGCACCGTGGAAACTTCAGATCCTATCCTGAAGATAGCTGTGGATTCTCCTGGCATGAGTCAGGCCCAAATACAACAAAGACACATGGTGGCTCCCAAGGGTGGGTTCCTGGCAGCATTACTACCAGTTGAGTGCCCAAAATTTTTTGAGTGCGCATGCGCATTTGCATTTAAAAAGGTCTGCACATGGGCACACCATTAAAAAAGGGGGGGGTTACATTTTTTCCAGTAAAGATTGTTCTGTGCATGTGCAGATCAGAAAATAAAGATAGCGGCACCCAGGATAGAACCATTATAGTCATGTGTCCGGCTGAGTTACTACTTATTCGGCCGAACCAGTCTATACCAATAGGAACCCACCTCTGGTGGCTCCTTCAAGCCAAATTCTGTATTTTTTAATACCTTGCCAGACTGAGGATTCTACTATCTGCATTTACAATATACTCTGTGAACTATTAAGAAGGGTCTGTCTTCATTCTCTTTCTCTCACACGATATCTGGGCTAAGCTGCCTCTTACTCTTCTGGAATGCAGCCCCTCCCTCGGGGGGATCCACCTCCTCACTACTTTACATCACATATGATTTTGTGATATTAGAAATAGAAGCTCACAGATGCTATCGGAATATGGCTGAGCTGGAATATTGTATCTCTTGAGTTAGTCGCTGTGAACTTCACTGGCCATATTTAGTTCTGGCTATTCTTCTAAGACAGGTTTAATCTTTCTTTCTATCCCACCCTCTTAAATGTTTTTTTTTTAACTCATCCTGATTTCTACAGGAAATAGAGGCTCTAATAATTCTCAGCACCTATACTAAAAGTCGAGGGTTTTTTGTAAGTGATTTAATTGTTTGTTAATCTTAACAAGGAATGTCACCACCACAATCACACGGCTGGCAAGGAAAAAAGAGCAACAACTAGTATCAAAGATATAAAATCAGAAGAGCAAAGTTAAGCCTTCAAAATCTGTTCACAGCTGGATAACATGGAGTAAGAATGCCTAAATCCCATCCAAGATAGACTGAAGTCCTTTGAGAAAGAAATCTATAATTTATCTCATGTTCCCACCATCCAAACTCTTTTAGTAATTAGACGTAGAAGAGGGATTTTTCCTGTGATAATTTACGAATCTATCATTAGATATGCTACATTATTTCTCCAACCCTTTTCACAAGGCACATTGCAATGCAGGTCAACCAGGAGAACTTGGGATACAAAATATTATACTAAAATGTGACTGATTGGGTGGTTTTTATAGAATGTATAAGGTTAAGTTAAAATGGATGGGCCGTTTGTGGGTCAGCACATCGGGGAAATCCAGCTCTTGTCTTAGCACCGTGTTTCTCAACCTTGGTAACTTTCAGAGGTATGGACATTAACCCAGAATTCCCTTGCTGGCTGGGGAATTCTGGGAGCTAAAATCCACACCTCTGAAAGTTACCAAGGTAGAGAAATACTGTCTTATAGCATGTTGTGAGAGAAGTATCATCATGCTAAAGCCATAATATGATTGATTCTGGCCCCGGCAACATAACCAACGAGTTTTATGAAAATTTAGCATGTGTATGTATTCCCCCATTGTGTCTTTCCTCTGAATATCATTTACTTTCTGCTCCATCCTCCCCACCCCTTTGTTACCAGCTGGCATTTGATCTGCCCCTATAGGTCAGTCTCTCTCTGTACTACAGAATCTTCTGTTACCCATCAACACTTCTGATTGGAAGCTAGAGAGGAAGAAGCCAATCTTCCACAAAAGGACTTACTGGTGGTTACTTCTTTCAGCTATCTTGGTCTGTCTTCTCATCAGTTTATGGAAAAAATGCCAGGTAAACTCTTAATAAGAAACGGCTTCAGGTAAATATGCGTTACACAACAGTCGCATGTGAAACAGCCTTGGACTCTACCTTAGTTGTTGTTGTTGTTAATTGCGAAGTCATGTCTGACTCATTGCGACCCCATGGACAACGTTCCTCCAGGCCTTCCTGTCCTCTACCATCTTCTGCAGTCCATTTAAGCTCACGCCTACTGCTTCGGTGGCTCCATCCAGGCACCTCATTCTCTGTCGTCCCTTCCTTCTTTCCCAGCATTAGGCTCTTCTCCATGCTCATCAAAATTTAGTACATTAGGAAAAATGCTAGATTAGATACGCAACGTGCTTTTTCTCTAAGCAAAAATTGTTATTTTATGTAGAAAAGGGGAACAAACGGTGCCTAAGAGACATAGAATCAAATCAGCTAGAACGCTGCTTGCTGACATTGTCTCTGGGCCCAGAGAATGTGAGACCTTTCCTGTCTCCTATTGATGTGGTAGATCGTTGTTTCTCAACCTTAGCAACCAGGATATGGCTGGGAGGAATTCCGAGAGTTGAAGTCCACACATCTTAAAGTGGCTAAGGTTGACAAACACTGCTACAGATTGCTTGACAGATTGTATCTGCCCTACATTTTATTTTCCTCAATATATTTTCCCTTTCTTGTCTTTTTATCTTTTTCAGGGGTCCTCTTCAAGAGCAATTTAAAATTACCACGTCCCTGTGGTATGGGACCTACATCACTCAGCATCTTAGAGCCTGTTCTATCCCACTCCTAGCCTTTATCTTGAAGGACTAAGCTGGAACAACCTGTGAGAGGGGCTGCTGTCAAAAAAACGACCTGCTAAGGAGCCATGAGCCTCAGCTGTGGCTCCCACCCCGCGGTAGACGCTGCATCTTTCTTTTTATACATAATCCTCAACTTATGACTGCAATTGGAACCAGAATTTGTGATGCTAAGAAAGGTGGATGTTAAGTCAATTGTGTCTGATTTTACATTCTCTTTTTTTTTTTTTTTTTTGACAGAACTTTTTTTATTGTCTGACTTGTCATACACTCTCCTGTGGTTGCATTATCCATTTTTTTTTGCCAAGGCTGTTAAGCACATTACTGCGGTTCTTAAGTGAGTCGTGCAGTTGTGAAGTAAATCCGGCTTCGTCCGTTAACTTGCACGTCAAAAGCCAGCTGGGAAGGTTACCGATGGTGACCCCATGTTGCAACCGTCCTATACACAAGCTTGTTACCGAGCACCTAAATTTTGATCACGTGACCATGGGGATGCTGAGATGGCCATAAGTGCAAGAATTGGTTGTAAGCCACGTTTTTCAGTGCCATTGTAACTTTGAATGGTTGTTAAACGAATGGTTGTAACTCGTGCTTATATGGTATGTGCTTATGTGAAAAGGGAGAGAGAGAGAGAGAGTTAATATATGTTTTTTTTTAATTTTGTATAAATAAAAGCAAATGTTTAGTTACCGCATGAATGTTCCACAAAGAGGAACTTTCCAGTGCATTTTTGTTTAATGTGACCAGCTAACCTGTATTGGTCTCTTACTGGAATCAAGCAATAGACAGCCTGTCCTAGAATCATCTGTGGACAGCAAAGTCTGAGACAGTGTTTCTCACCTTCATCAACTTTTAACAGGTGTGGACTTCAGCTCCCAGAATTCCTCAGCTAGCATGGAATTCTGGGAGTTGAAGGCCATACATCTTAAATGTAGCTGTGGTTCTGACATAACATCTTTATGCATTCCCTGAATCTGTTGCGGCCTGTCGGCTTCCAGCCCCTCCAGCAGCCAAATCAGATGAGGAAGAGGAGGCAGGGTCAGCATCAAGGCAACCTTAGAGGGGAAGAGGGGATGGAGTTGGCAGAGAGAGAGAGAGAGACGGAGGTGGAGTCAGCCCTCAGATGGAGAGTCAACAGCCCCCAGGTCTGGAGGTGGCTAATGAGGAAGAGGAGGAACAGTTGGGTCCAGTGCCTGACGTGCAAATGCGCAGAAGACAGAGGAGAGGAGAGCAGTGGAAATCCATGGGCTGATCCTCGGGAAGGAAGAACCAGCACTGCTAGGGAAGCCCCACCCTAGCTCTGGGGATAAAAGGCAGGGGGGGGCGGGGTGAATAGATGTGGCAAACAACTATTCATCTCTCTGCTGGACACACTCAGTGAGAGAGAAACTTTTTGCCGGGGCTGGTGGTGCTCCAATAAAGGAATCATTAACTTCAGAGAGTTTGTCGTGTTTGGGGAATTTGGTCAGAACAGAATCATGTACACCATGAAAGGCAACTAGAGGTGTTTTATTTTAGACGGGACAATTCATACCAGATAGGAGAAAAGTCAGACTTTGTATATTATTTTACTGTCTCATTGTGATCGCTCGGAATGAAGCAGCCGAGATTATCTCACTGCTGACAACTTTTTACAAAGGAGGCAAAAGGATGCTGAAGGATAACAAAACAATAATAAATCAACATAATGGCAAATCGTGGTCAAGGGGCACCAGAAACCACCATACATTTGGATTGGTTGTCAAGCACCCAAAGGGAGATCACTTGACCAAGGGCATTTTTCAAAATTTTGAATCTGACTATCTTTTTTTTGGATCCATTGTAACCGATTGCTAAGTTGCCAGTCATAAGCGGAGGATTTCCTGTAGTTACAAAATACCTTTTAAATGCAGTTCCTAGTTAAGGAAGAAGCATCCACCATAAATGCACTCCTACAAGGTGACTAATGCAGGTAGTCCTCGATATATGACCACAATGAGGCCCAAAATGTATGTTGCTAAGTAGACATTTGTTAAATGAATTTTGCCCCATTTTACAACTTTTGTTGCCCTAATTGTTAAGTGAATCATTGCAGCTGATAAGTGAGTAACACGGTTGTTAAGTGAATCTGGCTTCCCCATTGACTTTGCTTGTCAGAAGGTCACAAAAGGGATCCCATGACCTTGGGACACAGCAATGGTCATAAGTATGAACCAGATGCCAAGCATCCGAATTTTGATCATGGGGATGATACAAAGATCATAAGTGTGAAAAATGGCACTTTTTTCAGGGTTGTAACTTTGAACAGTCACCAAATGAACTGTTGTAAGTCGAGGATTACCTATAAGTGTCATAATGTTGATGTCAACAAGCAGATAGATTTTCTTTGTGATGATCAGTTTGGTCCATCAGACTTTCCCATAGTTCTCCCATCACCACTGTAATCAAGTCCAAACCTTGCTGTTCTCCTCTTCTCTTTCCTTCCATCCTAAAAATTTTCTATGTCGATATTATAATTTCCAAGGAAAAGGAATTTTGATTCCAGCCACTCATCATAATCTAAATAGTCTTCTGCCTTGGGAGACCAAATCTAACTTTTAACTGAAATTTCCTTTAGTAAAAAACTGTCAAATTTTCCACGGCAGAAAGAACACGGATTAGACCTGGCTTCAGCTCAAGACATATTGCTGGAAAAGGTTTTCCTGTTTATTCCTGATGGTTTTATGCAATAATTCATTCATCTTCCATCCCAAGTCTTTTATCCACATAATCAGTATCTAATAACAATCAGAATCTGGATTTCATCATCCACAATTGATTTGGCTGTGTTTGAAAGTCTTTCCAAAGAAATTTTAGGAAGGTCTAGAAAATTGAGTGAGGGAGTATCCAATGAGTCCTCTGATAGGAAATTATCTTTCTCTGGAGGTTTCCCAGTCTGTAATGGTATGTATGAATGACCTTGGGAGCCACAGCCTACCCAATGGTCTGATCTGAATCTGAAGGAGGGATTGGGTTGGAGAAAGCATCCCAGATGGGACCTTTCCTAATTTTGATGAAAAGTAAGGGTGGGAAGAGCTCCTTTCAGACTTGCAAGATTCTGTTAGTTTCCTTTTATAATAAAAGTTGTGTTATGAATCAAAGTTAGTGCTTCTTGTGAAGATTTGCTGAGCAAATAACTGATTAACCTGCTTATAAATTTGCATGATAAATTGATCCTGATATCTTGCATGAGTCAGGGAAATCAACGATGGAGATGTTCTCTTCGCCATTTATTAAATGGAAAACATCTCATTTTAGCAGGAGAATAAAAGTAAGGCAGTGGAATTCTTTCCTAATAGCCATTAAAAGGCAATAGATTTGGGGGTCACTTTTGCATACATTATCTGGGCATCATTCTTTTTCATTCATATTAAGGCAATGCACCTTAGAATGACTGAAAAGGGAGAAAACTCACTTTCCCCTCCTACTTAACCAGCAAACATAATTTTCCTTCTCCATTACAGAGCCATCTCTTGCATAACAGTGGTGGGTTCCAGGAAATATGGCCTGGTATGGCCGTACTGATAGTAGCCGGGAGCAGCGGCCACCATACTGGTATGGTGGCTCATTTGGCCTGCCTGCCCACCCGCATTCCATAGCTGTTTTTGAAGTAACTGGGCCAATTGCATACATGCGCACAGCATACAGTGCCTGCGCGACCTCCCCCGAGCAGCTGCATGCAGTGCCTGCGCGACCTCCGCCAAACAGCTGGGTGTCGCAGGGCGGTGGCGTGCGCAAGAGTGCGCAGCACTCGTGCCCAACTAGGACACCCGGCCCCGCCACAGCGTACTGATTGCAACCCACCACTGTTGCATTCGTCATTTTAACTAATCCTTTTTGTGAATTTAGTCATGAATCAGTCAGATTTCCTTTCACTGATTTCAACTATTACTTTATCTTCAGAGACAGTGTTTATGACATGACATTAGGAGTGGCTCTTACTCCAGAACGAATCAATTCTGGGCTGTTTCACCCATTCCCAAAACACATCAGAGAATTTTCTGATACATCTCTAGCCAATTTTTCTTGAGATCTTCCAGAGAAAAATGCATTTCTCAAGACAACAGCTGAATTTCCTTAGACGTTTGGTGTTTTGATTAGTTCAAGAGTTTAATAATCTAATTTTTCTGCCTTTGGAAAACACCAGACATTTGACTGACCACCTGAAATCTTTTGCTGAGTTTGTAGGCTTAGCTCAGGGATTCTTAAAACTTTTGCCATCACAACTTTATTGTCAATGAATATACCTGCACTAAATATTCAAACACCAAAATGAGCACAAACAAACAATGGAAGAAGTACCACGAAACATTGGAAAAATTATATTTATTTGTAACAATATAACTGACAGTATCTTCACTCCTTCACTCTGTTTGCACTAAAGGAGGTACACCTTAGCTCTATAATACGACAAGCAACTCTTGCAATGCTTTAGGTGTGAGTTTTTCAGTAATTAGGCTGCAGTAAAAGTAATCCATTAATTTGCAGAAGGGATGAATTATACTTGGTTTGTGCTTTTGTTTAAACTTAGCCCATGGGATAGTGTTTTAATTAACCCGTTATTAACTAGTTCAGAAATTAAGCAAGGAAAGAAACTGGCATTTTCTTCAATGGAAAGATCTATCCCAGGGGTGAAATCCTTCCAGTTCGGCCCAGTTCGGCCAAACTGGTAGGGACGATTGTCCCTGGTTCTGCGAACCAGTAGTAGCTCCCCCCCCCCACTTTTTAAAGCATTATTTTCTTGCCTATTCGACTGAACCAGCAGGAAAAAAAATGCTTTAAAAAGTGGGGGAAAGGGTTGGCCACGCCCACCCAGTCACATGACCCCCCCTCCACCAAGGCACACCCACAGAACGGATGGGCAAAAAAAAAAAAAAGATTTCACCACTGATCTTCCCCATCATCAGTTTTCCCAAGCTGATGTCTTCAAATGCATTGAAGAACAAAGTCCACATTCCATACCATCTAGGCTTTATAGACATTCTCTTTAGGTTAGGCTGCCTTGCAGAGAGATGCTATATTAGTGTCTAGGTCACGTGTTTAAAATAACTGCCTTCATGATAGATTATGTGCTGTCAACTCTTACGGATCACATTGATAGATTTTGTCCAGGATAATCCTGGTCACCCAGGCCTTATGTGCTTATTGTCAAAATAATTGAATCCGTACACTATATTATCCTCTTCTTCTCATTCCTTCCACCTTTCCCA